ACCGAGGTGGCATATTACGAGGATTTTATCAAATCCAAGGGACGCGTTCTACCTGTAGATGACCTTCTTCGGGTCTATAGGTTTGCGCAGAGGATGCTGGATCAATACAATGATACGCGGACACCACATGATTTACCCGGTGCACCAGATAAGAAGATTTCCAAAGTATGTACACTGTACTCCCCCTCTGCAATTCACAGCCTTATTCGTATACACTTGCACAGGCCAACGTCTTACACGCCCTCGGGCGCCAAACGTCCTGGGGCTCGGACTGCGAAAGCACGCTTCAGCTGGTGGACATGTACGGCCCCGGCGGTCCGCGTGAGACACCCAAGATCGTTGATCTCATCGGCGGCGTCGTGGGGTCGGGCGAGAAAGAGGGTTCTGTGTTCTTTTTGTACGCGCTCAAGGCTGTCGACAAGGCGTGGAAATCCGGGGGGCCGGACATGGTCAAGGAGATTGACTATACGCAGCTTGCCAAGAAGAAGGGTGGAGGCAAGCTGAGTATCCAGACTGCTAGTCCGCAGATTAACGATGGGGCTAGCGATCCGGGGGGTGCGCAGCTTGATGCGGAATGATCATTCCACCCGGTCCTCGTCCTCCTTTTCAACTCCTCCATTTTTGCGCTTTCTGTTTGATGTAGCCCTTGCAAGTTTTCTCATCGTCCCCTCGTACCTGTTCTTTAATCTGCTGTTTCTTTTCCTGGTATTTTGCTGCTTTCTACGAGCCTTTGTCGGCCTTTATCTCTCTTCTGCTACTTGTCTGCTACGACAATATGTAGTCTGCTTCGCGCCTCTTTGACCACCTTCTCCACTCCTTACTCCCTACAAAAACAAACGAGAAAGCCATAGATGTCTTTTCGGCCGTATTCTTAACTACAGTTAATATATTCTTTCAATTGCACCGTTCCTCCCTTTCCCTCTCACCCCCTCTCGCTTCAACTTGCAAGTCAGTCGACGATCTCGCCCTTCCAAAGCCGTTCGTCCGCGAGTGGATCGGGGCCTCCCTTAACGACGATCTTGGAGCCTGTCCCGGCGGGAACACACCCTTCGCCAATCGCGTGCTCAAGTGCAATTTTGGCCGGGAAACCCGTGCAGTGGAGGGGGAGGATGTACGTCGGCTGCGGGCGCAGGCGCCGGGTGAGGAAGTCGACGGTGGGGGCGATGCGCGGGTGGAGCTCGGGGCCGCCTAGGTGGAGGCCTGCGACAATCTAGAATAGGTAGGTGAGTGCGGGATCGGATGTTGGGTTTAGGTAGTGGGCGGGCATACCATGTAAATTGGCCTTGCGAGGCGCGTGGCTGCGTCTTGAACGACATTGCATATCCCGGCGTGGGAGCATCTGGGGACCGAGCTGAGCTGGCTTTTCTGCGAATAACAAGGGAAAAGAGGTACGTACGAGCTGAAAATAATCAAGCCTTTTCCTTTCACGTCGACCGCTACGTAGCGCTCGTCCATGATATGCTGGATGAAAAAGCCTAGTCAGACGGCCAAACTCGACGAAGTGGATAAGCAATAAGCCTACAAATTCCGGCTCCCACTTCCCCTCTTTATTTTCTCCGGAAGTGTTTTCGACCCACCTTACGCCGCTAAGCAGCCCTCCCTCGAACTCTATAGCGCGCGGGATCTCCCCGCTCACCCACACCGTCCCACCTGCGACCGCGTGCCCCCTATGCTTGTCCGCGCCCTCGGCCTCGCCCAGATGCGCCTCCACGACGCCCCCCGCCGCCTCGATCTCTGCAAATGTCGGATCCTCCGGCAGCCGCGCGATGACCCTGTCGTATTTGGGCGGCGGCGCGATGCCCCGCGCAGTGGGTCGGTTCGCGTGCACGTCCACGACGACCTTGTTGCTGGGCTTGTCATCAGCGCTGTGCGCGCGCGCTTCCGAGGCGAGGCGGAGAAATTCGAGGATCCCGCCCGAGTGGTCGCGGTGCCAGTGGGAGAGCACGACGCGGTTGATGGACGCCAGGGGCGGCTTGAGCGCGCTGATGTTGCGCGCGATGGACTGCGCCTCGGGGCCCGTGTCGAAAAGCGTGTGGTGTGTTTTTCCGTCGAGGGTTGTGGACTGCAGCCCGAATCGAAATTCGTGTCAGCTTTACTCCTTGGGTCGATAGGGACGGCTCTATTCACGATTACAATGGAAAGTCCGTGTGCGCCTTGAGGTACCACCCCGTTGTCAGCTTGAATCATCTAATGTGTACAAGTGATGTATCCCGACCACAGCAGTAGTTATCCAAATCCAGTACGGGCGTCTTTGTCTTTTCATCGATGGGTACGTCAGGGCGGGTGAGGTGTTGGTTGACTTCGTTTGAGAAACCAGGGGGCAGTTTGCCAAACCTTTTGAGATTAGATGGTGCGTCCAGCACCTTGGGTGAGATGTCTACATCGAGCTGCGAGATCGAGAGGGTGCAAGCTACCATTCGATAGTGTTGTCAACCAGGATATTGATAGAAACTTCGTCGACGGCGAGCGGTTTAGTCAGATTCGATATCGAATTTTCACCCATGATGGCTGCAAGTGCTTAGTGGCCAGATACCCACTCTCTCTCAGCGTCCTTTATAAAGGATCGTGCTGGCGGCCAGGGCGGAGTGCAATCTCAGCACCGTTAATGACTCGGCTTGCGCGGGGCACCAATGATTAAATATACAGTTGATTTGCGAGGCCTTTCTGGTGGCCGCTGCAAGTATATCGGCTATCGTGGCTCAGCATTTCAAATCTACAAAGGAAAGCAGGGAGTGGCGCAAGCCGTTATGCCCAAGACAGGAAGTCGAGCTTTATCTATATCGTTGCCAAAGAACGATAATTCAACGTGGTGCTCTAGCATGATTATTTTCAAGACACTGGAATGATATAGGCGGTTTTGAAGACTTTCCGGAGATCAATGAGTTCAAGGACGCTCTGGATGAGACCAAGGCACGACCAATATTGTTAGCGTTGTAACTAGCTTGTAAGTTGAAGAGTTGAAACCTTCCAGTGATAAGTCCGCTCATCCTACTAATGCTGACATAAGCATCTTTGGGTTGTAAGTAAGTAGCTTGCACCAAGATTCGACATCGACATCCATCCTGCTCAACGAAAGGTCTCCGGCACGACGGTTTTATGAGCCCGCGCTGTTTATTTAACTCCTTGGGCACTCTATACAATGCTCTATTTAACCGCTGACCGATTCTCAGTCTGTGAGCCCATGGTTTAACCCCTTTTCCTGCTCGAGTAGTGCTTATTCCGATATTGTTCGTAGTTGTGCCATTTGGCGTCATTGGGTACACTCGCCGGCCTGCTCGATTATCGCTCAATGTGCCAGAGCTAACCATAGTTACTCGCGCCAGCTTCTATCGATACCTATGGTTCTGCATTCGCCTGGCCGCTTCGTTCGCATACCGTCCCATTCCTTTACCTCAAAACCCCACGTACATCGCTTCAGAAGACGTCACGATCATCGTACCTACAATCGACGCCGGAGAAGAATTCAAAGAAGCTGCACACAGCTGGCTAGTCGGAGATCCCAAAGAGATTATTATCATTACTGAAGAGAAGATGCTCGGCTCACTCCAAGACCTCGCGAACTCGGTGGATCCGAATCGCATTCGCGTACTCACCGTCCCCTTTGCTAATAAACGGCTACAAATGAGCCACGGCATCCGCCACACCACGTCCGATATCATTGTCTTTGCCGACGACGACGCCATCTGGCCCCCAACTATGCTTCCCCACATCCTTGCGTGCTTTGAAGACCAGAAAATTGGAGGAGTAGGGACCTCGCAGCGCGTCCAGGCTGTCGGCAGCAAGATGACTGTCTGGGAAGTTCTCGCTGCTTTTCGCCTTTCCATCCGTAACGTCGAAATCGCCGCCTCTACCCACATCGATGGCGGCGTGCCTTGTCTCTCTGGTCGCACTGCTGCCTATCGTACCGTCATCCTCAAAGATCCCGACTTCATCCACGGCTTCACTCATGACTACTGGCTTGGAAAGTACCAACTCAACTCGGGCGACGACAAGTTTCTCACGCGGTGGATGGTCAGCCATGGCTGGAACACCTACATCCAATGCTCCAAAGAAACAGAGCTACTCAGCACGATGAAGCCCAACTGGCGCTTCTTAAAACAAGTACTTCGATGGACGCGTAATACCTGGCGGTCTGACCTTCGGTCCTTGTTCATGGAACGGCATATTTGGGCGAGACATCCTTATTGCGCTTACACAATGGTGTGTTAAAAGTTATTAGCCAGCGCGCTTGATTGATACCAGCCCATCTTTATATATAGGTCGATAAACTATTCAACCCCCTTTCCCTCCTGGTTGGTCCGTGCCTCGTAATGTATCTGTGCGCCAAGAGCACCAGGGATTCACACGATGGTGGCTATCATCTTCCTTGGTGGTACGTCCTCCGCCGTGTCATTACTCTTGCGCTCGTCTACCCTCAAAATATGCTAATGCATTTCACTAATAGGAATATCATTCTCAGCTACATGTTCTGGCTAACGTGCACTCGGACGATCAAACTCCTCCCGCATCTCTGGCACGCACCGAGGCACATCCTCTACGTTCCCGCCTTCATCGCCTTCGGATACTACTTCGCCATCATGAAGATCTACGCCCTTTTTACGCTTCACGAGACCGGGTGGGGCACACGCGCAGGAATCGGAAATCCAGCGGATGCGCTGTTGGCTATGGCTGATAAACAGACGACGACGACGGAGGTTGGTGAGAAAGTCTTGGCGTCCCGTAACGGTCGCAGAGGTGAATATGATCCCGAGATGGGTGTCCATGATCGACGTATCCACTACTTTTGAGCTTCCCCCCCGCTGCATTTTTCTCTCGTGCACATCCCTAATTAAGCACTTAATTATGGTATACTATTCAATTTCCACTCCCCTCCCTACTCCTTGATTCTTTTTCCCGATGGCAATCAACCGCAAGGACCTCTCCAGAAAACCTCGTCAGTGAACATGCAAGGGGGATTGGAATGAAGCTCTATATTTTCCCATCGGGCCAGATTGTCAAAATCTCTCTTGGTATATCGGTAGAACATAACCCTGTCATAAAAAGCACGGTTGAGAGCTGGGTTCGACTCCCAGAGGGAGAGTATTTTTGCTTTTATTTTTCTGATCCATTTGCAAAGTCTCTAATAGCTTCTTGTGTTTTTGCAAGCACCTCTATTTTTGAGAGTGGATTTGCTATTGCGCATAGACCAGGCGTAAATTACAGAGGGAGAGATGAGAGAAATGGATCGCCCGCAGGAAATAATTTCGAGCGGAGTTTGAGCTCATCTTGAGACTCGCAATGCATTCACCGATCACGATCTCCCCCTCGCAGTCCGCAGAAGAGAACCACTAATACTTCGTGATGGCGAAGGATTACTTTATCCACTTTGCTCAAGCTCACACCGAGTTTCGATTACCTGAACTACAATCGATCTCTGAGCTCTATGGCTTTAGCGTAAGCCTGCCAACGGATCCTCAAGAGCAAAATCCTTCGCGGCCTTTCATGATCGTGGGGCTAGAGAGCGAAGACCACGCGCGGCTATTGGCTGGGAGATGCATCCTGGTAAGGTCAGTATTCTCCTTCAAGTTGCCGCTGCACTGGGCTATGGATCAGTTGATATCGACATTGTTGGCCATCCTGCGTCGGCTTTCCATCATAACTGCTAGAGCGGTCTATGAGCTCTGGGCTCGCGGAACGTCGTACACGCAATTGCACGCCATGAACGCGTCACGCAAACATATCTGGGAGTCCTATCAGCCTGGGACGAGCTTCAAGTTCAACGTTTCCTCGGTAAACCACACTATCCCCCAGGCAAGACAGCGTGAAGTGATGGAGAACTTCAGTTACATGGCCTTTCAAGGACCCATCGACATGAAGAATCCCGGTATTATCATGTCGTGTTTCGAGGAATGCAAGTCTATCATTTCCTCCCTCATCAAGCGCAGTTTCCCTGAATGCGATAGCGTCGGCTTGCAGACCCGGAGAAGGAGCGGAAAGCCCAGGTCAAGGGCCAAGATGACGGTGACTTTAAGGAGGCTTTCTTCGGCAAATTGGTGCGATATCTTGACTCTCGAGCTCCTAATGCAGCTCTTTACTCAGCGTCTTACCAAATTTACCATCCCTATGCGATTGTATGCCTGTCGTCAGGTTGCCGAAGGAAGCGCCCGGTCATTGATCAGTAAATTCGATGTAAAGAAGAGAGTCTATTTTGGCAACACGAGCATGGAATCCGAAGTGTCCCTGCTAATGGCCAATCAAGCACAGGTACTTACTTCATCCTTACACGCAACGAGCGTTAATTTTGATAACGCTGATCCGGTTTTAGGCGGGCCCTGGAAAAATTGTATATGACCCATTCGCGGGGACAGGGAGCATGCTTTACGTACGTCCGTCTCTGGGGCCTCAGCCTGCTTCGAACAGCATCGTGTGTGAGCGGTAAAATGATATCCTTGATTACCCACTTCCGTTAGACCAGTGCCCACTTTGGGGCTTTCGTTTTCGGCTCGGATATCGACGGACGTACCATGCGGGGTAAAAGTCAGGACACCTTTTGCCTCTTTATGATTCTTCTGCTTGGAGCATGGTCTTCTAATGCCTATACTTAGACCCAAAATCATCGCCCGGCGTCGTTCGAGCTGCTCAGCAGTACGGAGTGGGTACTCGATTGATTGATTGCTGCACGTTCGATGTGACGAAAAATCCGTGGCGGTGTGGTGGGATAATGGATGCCATCGTGACGGGTAAGCACTTGCCGTCTTTCAGATCAGACAGATGTGCTAAACGTTCATATCCGTCAGTGTAGACCCACCCTGTAAGTTGCCGCTTTAGCTTCCATGAAAAATAGCACATCTTATCCTGGATTCGCCTCAAGACGGAGTGAGGGCGGGTGCTAAGAGGCTTGGACGAAAGGAAGGTCGAGAGCTCCGGGACATGTCGCGAGCCGCGAAGGATGGAGTCGAGATGCACTCGTCAGTTCACAAGCCCAAGCCTATGCTGTTTTATATTACTCAACACCGGCCCCCGTAGCCCAGAGACATACATTCCTCCCACGAAGCCGTATGAGCTTTCAGAGCTCGCAGCGGATCTCGTGACTCTATCTCGATACCTCCTCAAACCAGGCGGTCGGCTGGTCTTCTTTCTTCCGACAGTCACCGACGAGTACGAGGAAGTAGATGTCCCGACATGCGAAGGCATGACACTTGTAGCCAATTCAATGCAGAACTTCGGAAAGTGGGGTCGAAGAGTATGCGTTTCTTAAATAGCACAAGACAATGGCGACGGCTAACAGCGTTCATTAATAGCTGATAACAATGGTCAAGACAACAGACGCGACGACGGTCGCTCCCACATTCGAGAAAAACGGCGACGCGGTTGACGACCATGTCCCCGCCCACAAAGATTTCCGCCTTAAATATTTCGCCGGGTTCAGAGCCAGCGACGACGCGCAGTAGTTGTATGGGTGGTCTATTTGTATTCTATATACCTGGAATTTGAGTAAGCGGCATGTGGTATGGTTCAAATGAACGGTCACACGCCTACATACGTCAATGATGGCCGTGGCCTGGTGCATCGGCAGTCTTTGCCTTTCCGGCCTCCCTCATGTTGTCGGCGACGACGTAAGCCGTGAAAGCAACGACGGCAATTCCGAACCCGGGGAATATGTTTTTGAACATGGCGCGGTTCGAAAAGATGGGAGATTTGCGCCAGGCCTCGCGCCGTGCCCATGGATCGCGATACAGAGGTCCTTCGGCCATGGTTTTCGTGTGCGAGCGGGCGGGGTGTGTTTCTGGGGGGGCGTAGGCTGGGGTTTAGAATGTCGCGCGGACGGACGAAAAGACGAAAGCGAAGGTCAAAAGACGGAAGGAGCGCGCACCTGGCCCGACGATGTGGTGTCTGTCTGGGAGAAAGCGAGGAAATTTGCTTCCGGCGTCGCGCACTGGTGCTTTAGGGCCGGCTGCGCTCACTTGGGGAAAAAAAGGGGACTTCTGAGTTCTGGAACTCCCCCGCACTATAAAGCACCCGCCATCCGCGACGCTCTCGTTTCCCCTCCTTACTCCCCTCATTCTTTTGCCACCACGCCGACCCGATGGCCAAGAACCAGATTCTCACCGACTCGGACTCGGACGACGACACGCCACTCGTGGCCAGGTCCAACGGCACGCGGTCTCGCGCCGCCAAGGCCAATGGGAACGGAAAGCGGCCCCACACCTCAGACGAAGAGCTCAGCGACGAGGACGTTCCCCTAGTATGTCGTACAGCATGTTACTTCATCAAATGGCTCATTCTTTATCTTATCGTATGCCATTACGCTCATCTTCAGGCTAAGCGCGCCAAGCCAACCAATGGTGCCAGCGCGAAACCGTCGTCGTCGGGTTCGGCGGCGGCGTCTACCAGTACCACCTCACGTAGGAGTTGCCCGTGTCTTGTCTCAGAATCTCTCGCTGAAACCTGTCTGTTTCAGGTCTCTTGAAAGAGGAAGACTCCTCTGATGACGAGCCTCTGGCGTCACAAGCGAGTGACACTCGCCACATTGTTTCTCCCGAGAAGATCAAGGACGAAAGTGACAGCGACGATGACGTTCCCTTGTACCAGGCCTCTGCCAACGGTGCGGGTAAAAAGTCTGCTGCAAAACCGAAAGCCAACGTGAGTTATTCTCATGCGCTTGCAAGCCGCGCAATCTCGAACATTTTTTGTTTAGGGTAAGGCCGCTGCAGCCTCAGACTCTGACAGCAAACCCGCGAAGACCAAAGTCCCTCGCAAACGAGTTAAGGTGAAGCCTCTTTCGCCCGCTGGAACCCACAAACACATCGCTTACATAGGCGTTTATCGAGCTGGTAGAAAGAAGAAGATTCCGATGCTGACGCAAAGCCGCTAAAAAAGGCACGCACTCCACGCAAGAAAGTTAAGGTCGAGGAAGGTATGCTACAGTAATATTGGGCTCTGGGTGGCGCGATTGGCTGATGACACGCTGTAGACGACGACAGTGACGACGACAAGCCGTTGGCCAAGTCACTCGCAGCCAAGGCAGACTCAAAAGCAGCTAAGGGCGATTCAAAGGGCAAGGGCAAAGCAAAGACAAAGAAGGAGGCCGAGGAAGCTGAGGAGGAAGAGATGTTCAAGTGGTGGGAGGCGAATATGCTCGGCGATGGTACGCAGAAATGGCAGACACTTGAGCACAGTGGTGTTCTCTTTCCGCCTCCATACGTACCACTCCCGAGCGACGTTAAGATGCTGTATAACGGTGGGCTGTTCTTCGACCACCTTACCGGACGGATTTAGCTCACATAGTCTCCATTGAATAGGAAAACCCGCCACCCTACCTCCAGAATCCGAGGAGGTTGCTGGCTTCTTCGGCGCTATGTTGGAAACGACGCACGCTCAAGATCAAACCTTTTGCAACAACTTCTTCAGTGACTGGCTAAAGATCCTCAAGAAGTATCCACCAGTGCGTTCCAGTTGTTCAGTCTTTGTTATGCTTTGCATGTCCAATTACATCTTTTTCCCTTGTAGGCTGGAGGCGTGAAGATCACCGAGTTCGGCAAGTGTGATTTCCGTCCGATGTACGAGCATTTTGCAGCGGAGATTGCTAGGAGGAAGAGCATGCCTGCGGCCGAGAAGAAAGCATTGAAGGCCGAGAAAGATGCTGCAGAGGAAAAATACACATTCTGTCTGCTGGACGGCCGGAAGGAAAAGGTTGGAAACTTCCGCGCCGAGCCTCCAGGTCTGTTCAGAGGTCGTGGCGACCATCCTCGGCGGGGTGCTCTCAAGGTTTGTATCCATTGCGATATTGATGCATCTTATACCATGATTCATCATTGCCATCCTCTAGTTCCGTATTGGCCCTGAGGACATCATCCTCAACATCGGGAAAGAAGCGAAAATCCCCGTACCCAACATTCCTGGCGAATGGAAGAAAGTTGTTCATGATAATACCGTTACATGGCTTGCGAACTGGAAAGAGAACATCAATGGAAGCTTCAAGTACGTCTTCCTTGCTGCTGGCAGTTCTCTTAAAGGTCAGAGCGACATGAACAAGTTTGAGAAGGCGAGAGAGCTCAAGGTACGATTCCGCTGGTGCAACACATTCAGCCATCCGCTAAC